TTTTTTTCGTTTCTTTGCTACTGTCATGCGCTACTTTCTCCCTGGATCAACCGATCTCTTTATGCTGTATATACTAGTCTTTGGACCATGTCCACTGACAGTTTTCTTTAGCGGATCTTTATATTCCACAACCGTAGGATTGGTGTGCTACTCTTTTACAAAACTCCCTCTTTACTGAGAAACGTCAGATGTTCATCGCATACTACAGTGGTTCATTGAGAAAAATTATGGTTCAATGGTTCTTCTCATGTCTCCCTGTTGTTGGTCGAGGAGGGCTTTGCTATATTCCCTAAACCTTTGTTTTGAGTTGGCCCTACTCCTTGACTTATTGCTAGACTTGTTGCAGCCCTATCAGTTCCACAGCCGATCAGAAAGAGAGCTCATGCCCGAGGTGAGGACGGCTTTGTTAAAAATGAGAAATTCCACTCCATGCTAAAAGGGGATAAGTTTATGGGCTGAACTACATGTATTGTCTCGAAAAGATGTTCATGATGGAGGTTGACCTAACGCTCACCTTCCCTTCTCATACCCATCTTCACGCATTTCTTTAGCCGACAGAACTGGCACTGATTTCTGTGGTTCACGTCCACGGGGCAATTCTTCGAGCCTCGACATGCATACGAAAGCGATCGTCTAATCGACCTGAAACTGTTCACCTTGGGCTATTAGCCAAGTCCAGTACAGATCTGTTCTTATGACGAACCTCTTGAAGAAACTCTTGCAGCCCTCGCACGAGAACTGCCCATAATGTTTGCCGCTAGACTTGTCCCCACACACCACGCAATCAGCCACGATCCCTTCCGAGTTTGAAGAAGCTGCCGGTGGTGACGGAGAAGGCTGGAACACGGTAAATTTACGAGGAGGTGAACAATTGTGAAAGCATGTGAGTGTAGGAATCAGGCGAGGCATCATCATTCTTTCGTCAATGGCCCTGGGTTTCGCTCCCTCTAAATCACTGGTGGTAAATGCGGTCGTGGGAGCCCATAATCTTTCTTTGCCATCTCTCAAACGACGCCTGGCCCTAGCGGCAAAAACGCGAACACACTTAGGCGATGGAGCAGCACAGACGTGCTCCGCAATCTCACTATGAGTAATTCGCACATCTGATTAAAATAAACCGCTGACTATCCAGATGACAACTGACATCGCCGACCGATTGCTTCGCTGTAAGATCGATTGGGATACTTCATGATTTTCAGACAGTCTTCATAAATCAAGGAATTCAGAATCAGCAAAAGCGAAAACAACAGCTCCAATCACTGCATTAAAACTGCTTTTCACGTTTCATGATTAGCCCAACTTCTTTGGAGAGTGGATGCGGAAAAACTCTCTTTACCATGCGAACGAGCTGATGAATCGGGGTGGGGGAGGGGGGGTGGTCGTGACAGTGATCAGATTGCCCCCATTACCCTCGGGAACAATCCCGTGTATGGCTGACTAAGATCAAAAACTTGAGTAGCAAAAGGTTTGAAATTAATATTTATCAGTTGGATCGAGAACAGGCTTCTTAGTTGCAATCGCACATAAATGCCAATTATCAAGAGTTTCTCTTTCAAATGACAAATAACCGATCATCGGTGATTTGATAAGTGTCTTTGATTGAAAATATGCCGAACCTCGTGGAGCAACTTGCAGCTACGGACTGATGTGAAACTTATTTTTTCTCTCAAGTTCACCCTAAAAAGGAGCGATATGTTTTCTAGGTAAATTTTGGCTCGAATCATCTTTTCAGTTTCCCTTCCCTGGAACGAGCGCTGATGAGAAGGTCAAACTCGGTGAGGTCGAGTTCTGCTCAAGGAATTTGAGTCGATCTATCACAATGAATTCAGCCTCTCCATGTTATGATTAGCGCTTATAAAGCATAAGATTGGATGGATTTTCTGTCACATAGTAAGATGAAATTTGGTTTCTGTGTCGAGCCATAAATATCTTAAAACTCTCTCTCGAAGGTACAGAGATCATTCGCGGTTAGAATCGCCCAGCAGTTCAAATCCGCGACCAAAAGAACTCAGGAGAGCATAGGTTTTAGACGTCTTTTCTCTTATTCTTCACTCTAAGTGAAAGGGGGATAATCAAGTGGAGCTTTCATTGAGAATTTGGAATCAACAACAATAGTTACCTATCGAACTGAGCGAAGTCCTGTCGAGTTTTCGAGTTTCTCAACTCAAAAGTCTTCCAGGTTTATTGAAAACTGGGTGTTGCATCGCCCCTGGTTCTCCATCCGAACGCGAACTTTGATAAATCACTTCGAAAGAAAAAAAAACAGGAAAAACGGGGTAGGGCGTAGAAGAGCCTTACTCAGTTTTTGTTTCGCAAACTCAGTTGAAGTTGGAAAGCTATGGAACCTCATAGGGAGGAACAGACCTGGGGTTTCATTAGTGTAGAGGAACATCAGGGTTGTCGAATAGCAACTGCTGGAAAGGATTTTTGGTTACCGTAAAGTGCTAAAGACAATATCAGCCTGTTCAGGGCCAGATGAAAATGAAATGAGAAAGAAGAAAGAGAAGGGAGGTCAGGAGCATCAGATGGATAAAATACTCACTTCTGAGAGAACGTCGATTGTAGGGCTCTGCGTTCTCATTGACCACACACGACTGACTGCATTTGTCGAGGTGGTCTTCTGCTGTTCGTCGTCATCGCTCTTCATCGTCATCGTCTTTGCCGTCGTAGGGGTTGCCGTCGAAGCGGCGGCAGATACGGTACCACTCTAGGTCTCGAGAGCGCGACCGGGTGTCACCAATGGAATCAGCAGTACGGGGCGGGGCGGCTGCCACTAAGCTGCGAGGCCTCATTGACTACGGTAGTCGGCCGTGGAGAGGCTGTAAATATGGGGAAGAACATACCCGCAGATGCCCAAGTGAATGGGTGACGCAGGAAAAAAGCGAATGAGAGAGAGATAAAGGCTGAGAGTTCGAGCCTTATTACTTCGCCGTCATTACGGCATTTCGCCATTCGTTTCGTGATATTATCGTCCCACCCAGGGCCCAGGGTTCACCCACGTTTTCTTCGAGGGCCTTTCATCGAATTCCCGAAGAAGCTCCTAATGGGAATAAGATAGTCGGTGTATTCAGGCTACTACTTCAAGGCTTTGCCGGAAAAATGATCTGCAACTGAAAGCCATTTGCCCACCAACCCCAATTCTAAGTGGATTAGGTCTTTCTCAAATCCAACGACTGAGGATCGACCCTTTACTGTGCCTTTCCTCAAGCAGAACAACAGAACAACAGATATTGGTCTTGTTCGACAAAAACCGGCTGAAGCTTTCAAAATCAAATCACTCCAGTGGTCCGCTAACGAGCACCAGCGAAATCGGCACAAAGCCGTTGTGTCGATCTCGTTCCCACTTCAGAACGAAGGGGTGCTCCGAGGGTGGCGCTGAAGTGGAAAACAGATTTCAACTGGACAGCTTCCTAAGAGCGCCATGAATCATATCGGTGAAAGCGCTTGGAGAATTCTTACGAATGGGACCGAAAAGCATTTCTAAAGGGTTTGCTAGCAGTGATCGAGCACAGAATCATGGCCTTCATGAGCCAATGAAGATTGAGGCTCAGATTTGAGCCTATGTGTGCTGTTCTACCAAGCACGTCTTGAGTCTAATGAAGCAACCAGTGTTATATCACATTTCTGATGAGGGCCATAGATGTCACATAACTTGCTTGGGAGTATTGAAATATTGCTTTGTGAGAGTGGAGATTGAAGAAGAACATTTTCAAAATGAATTTCTAGCTAAACTTCTAGCCCCCTAAACTTCTCATATGTGACCATCTGGAATCTGCCAAGGATGCCACCTACATAGGTGCAAGAAAGTACAAGTAGGGTTGTACAAGTGCTTAAGCTGTAGGAAACAGCTTTTAAGGATAACTGAAGTATACCGTTTTTGAGGAAAATAGGTATCATTTATGTGCTCCTCATGTTTCATGATAAAATTCGCATTTCTTGCAGTAAATCAATCTGCACATGATAATGCCTATGCAAGTGGGAGCACTCGAGTACACACCAGCTGATGAATTCACTCAAAGTTCTTGCCAACGAACCAAAGTGCCTTGCTCAAATCTATTGGGTCATAGGCGCGCTGATAAATTAACGGGCAGAAAACTGGGATGTTAAACGTAAGGAAACCTAGCACTTAGGAATTCCTTTGTCTGTTAATTATATTATATATTTACCTTTGTCTACAATTCCATCCTGCCAGAGTTATCCACCACTCTCTGTACTTTCACCTGCACTGAAGTTCAAGTATGAATCCAAAGCGACCTTTAGACCATCGGGCGGGGCTCCAACCCCTAATTGTGCTTTTCGAGCAGCGTGCCCTTGCCCCTTACACTACCGAGACTCGGTTTGCCTTCGCCTTCGGCCTGCTTGCGCTATCCGGGCACCATGCTTTTATTCCTCACATCACTCCAGTGTAGAAATAAGAGCACGCTGCCCGGTTAGCACAAGCACGGGTTCGAGCCGCGTCCGAGGCCGAAGCTCTGTCAACGATCCGTCAACCTCGGCATCGTGTGCTAGCACTGCTTCGCTCACTAATACCTCACTTGGAGGAACTGATTGATGTCAATAGAATTCGAATCAAATAAGATTTCTTAAGTAAAAAGGTATAGACTGGGATTCAGAAAATGAGTTTTGAAGGATCTTACGTGGTCGTAACAAGCAGCGAGCATCAATCACATGCTGTCCTCATGTAAACCATGAACTCTGTGCCATACCCCTATCAGAAATTCGTATTTAGAGCATCAAGGGCTAAGAGCGATCTAGAAAGTTGAAGAAGCGAAGTTGTGTGACTAATGCTATATCTCCCCCTTCATTTGTCTACATGATAGCTTATTCATAAAACATCGCATTCGATACATATGAGAAGCATAAGGCGGTAATCATTTTGGAGCTTCACAGTTCTGAAATCAGGCGATTTTTAAATGTGAAGATTCTAAAGGAAGTCCAGAAGGACATTCAGAGTCATACATACCTCTCACTTTCCCAGATTCTTGATTACGAAAGAAGAACTTCAAGCTCTGTGTTAAGAAAAGGCAGGCATTCGCCCACGACAATACAGGGATAAATTAAATTCACTCGATCTTGCAATTTCAGATCGCTGCTGCAGAATAATATGTAGTACCGTCCCATGGTGAGGCAGAGGATGAAGTACAGCCTAAAACTTGATCCCCTGGCGAATAAAATGGTGCAAGACGTTTTCTTCTGGAAAAACTTTTCTGGAGCACTCCCACAAAATCATGACACGGTCACAAATCGCTCCAAACCCTTTACGATATTCTATGAATCTCGAAGAAAATGAACGGCTCGTGCACTGGATTGCTCTAGGACCGTTAGACTTCCTCTTTCTTGACAAGTCTTCCATAAGCGTTGAATCACGACAACACAATCTCAGGGAATATTTGTCATTGAATTGCTTGAGTATCTCTTGTAGTACTGTTAGGATGTAATCACACCGATAACATCAGATTAAAGGCAGAGTTCACGATAAAAATGTTATCTGAAACTACCCAGTAAATCTGAGAATATATCGCCCGCTCGGATACGCTGTGGCGTTGTAAGGTCGGACAACGACCTAAATAGGGCGGTATAAGGCCTCCAACATTGTATCGTCTATATGCCTCAATCTAGGTGGATGAGTTTCTCGGCATTGTTGAGGCTGTACCATTCAGTGGAGATCCCATATAGGAAGTCAAGCAACTTGATATGACCCCATGGTGACAAAGGAAGACAGCTTTGGAGAATTTCGGCATAACGTTGTCTGCTCTTCGCGCAAAGCTGGAGCTTCGTTTCATTACCCCTTTTATGCCAATTTCGTCTCGGTAATCTTGCACAACCTCAATTTTTGCTACTTTTTGAAAGCCTTTCTCGCGAAATTGGAGAATTTTCAGCTCTTTTCACCACTGGTGCACTATCCTCAACTAGCT